CCTTTAGTATGTTTGAAGACTTTCTTTGTCACAATCTCACCTGAAATGGAGTTTAATGCTACAAACTTGTGTTGTTTATCCTCACCGTGAGTGTGAAATAAGTCCTTACTAAACTTCAGCAATGATAATATCCTATACTTGAATATTTCACCAAGAGCAAAAATAGAAGAAATCACTTTCTTCAGAAATAAGTAACCTAATATATCCTTGGTGCCAAAAATCCTGTAAAAATCACTTAAGCCATACAGAAATCGCTTAAGCCTTATTCGCTACACAATCTGCTTAAGCCAAAAATTTCACTTAAGTGACTTTTCGCTTAAGCGATTGAAAATCGCTTAAGCAAAATATGCAACTGTTGGTTTTTAAAAAACTGGAATCACAAACTCTCATTTCCATTCCAAGCCTTTCTATCCTTCTCTCAAAGTTCAGAGCTTTAATCTTCCCCAAACGTCTCTCTTCTCACATTCAGTTCAAGGGCAAGCTTCCATTTTTTAACTCAGGTACATAACGAATGCTTAAGGCATGACTTCAATATTGTTATTGGTTGCTATAAAATCATTTTCTCTGTCGCTTAAGTGTCCAACAATGCTATTATTCTTAGCTTTTGCATGAGATTATAAGGCTTTCATGTGTTGAATACTGTGATATATGAATGAGATTAGCATTATTGTGTTTATGTTGGACTAATTCAGAATATTAAGTTTAGGGTTTAGGGTTAGTTTTATCGCATCTGTTGGAAACCTTTGTTGGAAGCCTCTATATTTTTCGCTTAAGCGGGTTGAGGTCGCTTAAGCGAAAATTGAATCATGGGGAAAGCTAAAGGTTGAAGCTTTCGCTTAAGTGACACAGTCCAGCTTAAGCGAAAAATACAGAGGCTTAAGCGAAAAACAGGGCTTAAGCGATTTTACCTTAATCTTGTAATTTATTTTTTGTTTTCGGATAACACCAAAGAAGTCTATTCCTCAAAGAAAGAGGCAAAGACCTGAAGTTGGGCAAGCTTCACAACATGATGAACCTACTGAACAATATCAACAATCACAAGCTCAAACTGAAATAGAAACCATATCATTTGATAGATTTAGGTTCAAAACTAGGGCCAAGGCTCAGAGATTTCTTGACTTACAATCTAGGGAATTGCTACCTGAGAGGAAGGTCTCTTTAGAAGAAGGACAATATGAAGAGTTTTTGCAAGAGATTATAAAAGGAAATGACAATTCTTGGTAAACCTCCCTAATCGAACTCATGAGGTAATTGTCAAAGAATTTTACGTAAATGCATGGCCATTGATCCCACACAAGTCAGATCGAAAGTCTTGGGTTTGAAGACACACAGTTGCTTATGACAGAGATGCAATTTCAGCCCTATTAGGCAACCCTCTGACCTTAGGGGAAGGGGAGCTATGCCAATACTAACAACATTGAGCATCTTTGTCAGGTTTTTCAGATGACATAATAGCTAACACCTTATGCATCCTTAGAAAATCATATGAAACAAATGCAGCGAAGAAGCCAATGCACTTCAAAAGGCAGTATTTGACTACTTTGGCCCAAATATGGGCATTTTTTCTCTTTGCCAACATAGCCCCAACCACACACACCTCAAATGTCTGGATGCCCCGAGCATATCTGATATACAGCATCATGTAGGGGATGTTTGTTGACATAACAGCCATAATTTTAGATGAGTTGCACCAGTTTGTAATGTCCAGTACCTCCAGTACTGCATCAACAACAAAACCTTTAGGATTTCCATCACTAATCACTGCTTTGTGTGCTTCCCAAGGTGTTACAATTCCAGACACCTCCAATCAAACAATCAACTTGAAGAAACCAATTAATTACTAGTTCAAAAAAAATTATTGCACCAATCCAATGAAACAATTGGTAGGAGATTCTTCTTAACCATCTTCATTTGTACCACCTACATCACAACCAACACAACCACGAACACAACTATCTATGTCTAAAGTGCCACAAACAGATCCAACTCTCATATGCCATCTGACTCATATAGAGCAACAATTGGTAGCAAACAATCGTGCTTACACTCACCTAAACGAGTCCTTCTACAAGTAAATGTTCTCTCATTTATTGTTTTAATTACTCTTGTAATTTTTTATTTTAACATTAACTTCATCATATCTTTCCACAGGTTCACTCTACACCAACATCACGGTTAAGAATCTGCTTTCCCATGGCCCACACCCGAGGCTTTTGCAGAAGCTGTATCATGACCTGGAGATAACCCTACATTCACATTTCAACATGAAACTACACAGGATCCAGATCGACAGCCAGAGGAAGGACCTCACGACGACATTTAGGACATTGAGGAAAATGATTGGGGAGATGTACAAGAAGGTCAACAATTAGAGGAAGAAGAGGGACATGATGAGGGAGATGAGCCACAACCCATGCAAGAGGATGACAATGTTGGACCCACATGATTACAATTACGATTTTAGTGTAATAGATTTTAATGAGTCAACATTTTGTGTTATGTTATGTAATGGAGTTCATTTGTAGTTCTTGAATGCTTATTCCTATAGTTCTCGTTAATGGATTTCCTTTGGAGTTCTTGAATACTTATTTCTATAGTTCTCATTAATAGATTTTAATATTTATCCAAATTGGTAACCTATATTATATTTCATTGTTTTGTGTAAGATGTAAGTTTGAAAAAATTATATGTAATCAAGTGTATTTTGGCCCCCTTGAATGCTGTCTGTATTAGGATTATGTTGGATTTTCTATACCTTTCGCTTAAGCGACCAAATTTCGTTTAAGCTAAATTTATTCTGGCTTGATTTCTTTTGAACGTGCCCCAAGCACATATATATTTCACTTAAGCTACAGATCTTCGCTTAAGCAATTATATCAGGTTGTACAGGTTAATGTATTTTCTGATACATTCGCTTAAGCGGATAAAACTCGCTTTAAGCTAAAAAAGTTTCGCTAGATTTGTAAAACGCTAGCTTAAGCCCTACCAAACTTCGCTTGAACCATTTAAAATTTACTCAAGCTAATTACACTGCCTGAAACATGTGCTCTCTGGCCCATTTTTGCTTCAAATATTTCTTTTTCGCTTGAGAGGGCTTAAGCTAATTTAAATTCGCTTAAGTCAAACTCGGTCGCTTAAGCCCTACCAAAATTAGCTTAAGCCATTTAAAATTCGCTCAAGCTAATTACACTGCCTGAAACATGTGCTCTCTGGTTCATTTTCACTTCAAATATTTCTTTTTCGCTTGAGAGGGCTTAAGCAAATTTAAATTCGCTTAAGCCAAATTCGGTTGCATAAGCGAAAAATATTCACTTAAGCGAGGCAAAAACTGCAGGTGATCCAGATCTAAAAATTATATCCTCAGAATTATACTTTCCTTTTCTTTTCAACAGCGTATTTCACTTTTATCTCTTGGTGTTCAATCCGTTCACTTTGACATTATGAATTTATTAATGGCAAATGTTTACAGGTCCCATTAAGGAACAAAAACAGAATTTCAGAAAACATAATAAATATATCTTCCCGGTGATTTTTAATGCAATTCAACGCAATTTTCAATAAAAATTAAGATTTTTAATTTCTTAACAAATGTTGTAAGAAAACTAATTTGTAAGAGCCTTTATTAATATGCAAAATTGTTTCTATCGAAAGTATTTGTTACGGTACTCTTTGTTTATTAATATGCAAATCTGTATGTTGGTATCATATTGCCGGCCAGGCATAGAGCAAAAGGTATATTTTATTTAGTTATTTATGAGGTTTTTACTACATACCTATCTATAATAGATCTGTGAAACAAAAAGGTTTTGATTTGGTTTTCTCCATTCTTTCTTTCTAAATTGAGAATAAACTTAACATCGAAGCCTCTGGAGTTTCAATTTTAAGTCCAAAGTCACGGAAAGAAAAGGTAAAACATTTGTGTTTGTGAATCTTTCTCTATACCTCTTTCTTGATTTTCTTTTTCTTGTTCTGTTTGCAAATAGTTGCTATATTGTAAGAACTTAATTGCTGAACGAATTCACTAGAACTGCGCTTTGGACATGGAAGTTAAAATCACGGGATGTTGTAGGCTTCATGCATGTCTTTCACTCTGTTCATGGAATAAGTATCATTTGTTCATTTTCCTTTTGGCTTGACTGCCATTGCGGCAAACAAATAACAAATCCTCTAAAATTTTACATTTAAAGTAGAAACCAAATGATTAATAATATTTATAATAAAATTATTAATGTTCTTCGTTAGGTACTCGTGAGGGAACATATCTTATAATTATTCGAAAAAAAAAAAAAAACTCTTATATTTTTATATATTTCTCTTCTCTCCTCCCTAGCGAAAGAGGAAGAATGCATTTCTGTGAAGAAGAATAATAAATACACATAGAGAGAACACATCAGGTGAGGGTAAATTTTCATGAAATGAACTAACATTATTTTAAACATTCATCTATAATCAAAATTTAGCTTCTCTTGTCATCTTAGTAGGCGCTCAAATGTACATCATCCTAAACTCATCTGTATATACAGAGGATGTATCTAAGGAGAGAAACTTTTTTTTTAATGAGAGTGAGATGTGTAAATCTGAACTATATAACTATATATATGAAAGTTCATGATTGGAAAATTTTAAAAATTGTATGATCAATATCATTTTTTGCTTCATATAAATTAAATTAAACCCGAACTTAATAAGACTGGTATATGTTGAAATCATGCACTCAGCTATTTTAATTTGATTTAAAATTCTCTAAAACATTTGAAATTTAATCACTGACAAGTATTACTCTATAGTGCTTTTGTAATAGGAAAAAAAACTCAGATTACATCATATAAAATGGTGTACTAGTAATTAATTTTGTTTCATTGATAGAATTATGTTCCTTATTTACATAGGATTAACATATTAATTTGGAGCAACATTTATAGATGGAGGAAAATGACAATAATAGAGGGACGAGAACATACAATGATGTTGATCCTCATCCACAAAGAAAATTGAAGTCATTTGAGAGTTTGTGGAACTATGGTGAAGCACTGCTGAACACACCATATAGACTAGTGGATCGGGTTATGGGTCGATCGATGGATGAAGCAGAGTTAGTGGAAGTGAAGAAGAGAAGTCAACACGAGATGAAGAAAACGTTGACATGGTGGGACCTAATCTGGTTCGGAATGGGGAGTGTCATAGGTTCGGGCATCTTTGTCCTCACAGGACTCGAAGTTAAGAATGATGTGGGACCCGCTGTTGTTTTGTCTTACGTTATCTCTGGGACCTCTGCCATGCTCTCTGTCTTTTGCTACACTGAGTTTGCTGTGGAAATTCCCGTGGCTGGTTTGTTTTTCTCTTTCTGTATCTAAGCAAACAAGTTTATTTATTAAACTAAAAGAATACTTAATCCCTAATTATTAGGGTGTTGCTAATCAGTTTTTTAAGATATTAGTTAATAATTAAAAAATTGTAATTATGATTTTTTTAACAAATTTTTCACTTTTAGTTTTTTAGTCACTGTTTAACATTTGCCTTATTTCTTTGTAGGGGATGGATTTGAAAATAATGTCTTTTTAATATAAGAATGAGAATGATAAATTTAGACAACACAATTATATCCATACAGATGGTTATAATTGATTTTTTTTTTAAATTATGTCACCAGTTATGTAATTTTTTTAAAAAAATTCCACAACTCATGTGTTTTAATGTTATTCATGATAAGATTCAACAATTAAAATTCATTTTAACTTTCTCTTATGAAAAGACGTTCTCGTTTAATATGTCCCCTTTGATCATGTGCCTAAATGTTTAACTTTTGATTCCTCATGAACTCCAAACTACTTAGCTTGTTATAAAATTCTCTTATCATTTGCAAAAGATAAAGATTAATATATTAAATTGTATTGATAATTTTGTATCATTAAAAACTATTAATTTTTACAACGATTATTTCAAAGTTATACTTAAATATTATTTATTTAATTAATAATATAAAATTATTTATATTCATAGTATATTAAAATTAATTTTATTAAAAGTAGTAAAATTTTAGTTAAAATGTAATTTTTTTGTGTTATTATAACAAGGTGAAATAAATTATAAGTCTAAAGAAAAAGCTTAGTCACAATAATAATCTTACCTTATTCAATCTAGATTAGTTAAATGTTTGGTATAAGATTCAAATATTAATTCTAAACAGAAAAAAAAAGGTGTATTTCATGCAAAATGAGATTATGTACGTGGAAATCTCATTGAATGGCGAATTGATGCACTTAGGTGGTTCCTTTGCTTACCTCAGAGTGGAGCTTGGTGATTTTGTAGCCTACATAGCTGCAGGTAACATTCTTCTTGAGTATGTGATTGGTGGTGCTGCAGTGGCACGTTCATGGACATCCTATTTTGCTACCCTTTGCAACCAAGATTCAGATAAGTTTCTCATCCAAGTCAATGGCCTTGAAAATAACTACAACCAGCTTGATCCCATTGCTGTTGTTGTTCTCATTATCATTGGTATTTTTGCTGTTTTCAGCACAAAGGGTTCCTCACGTTTAAACTACATTGCCTCAATAGTTCATGTAATTGTGTTACTATTCATCGTAGTTGCTGGTCTAACCAAAGCTGAAGCCAAAAATTACTCTGATTTTGTACCCTTTGGTGCTCGAGGGATCTTCCAAGCTGCTGCAGTGTTGTTCTTTGCTTATGTTGGGTTTGATGCGGTTTCAACAATGGCTGAAGAGACAAAGAACCCTGGAAGAGACATACCTATTGGTCTTATAGGTTCAATGACATGTACCACACTTCTATATTGCATGTTGGCAGTGACACTTTGTTTAATGCAAAAGTACACAATGGTTGATGAGAATGCTGCTTTTTCTGTTGCATTTGAAGCTGTTGGAATGAGTTGGGCTAAGTACATTGTTGCATTAGGGGCTTTGAAAGGAATGACTAGTGTTCTCCTTGTTGGGGCAGTGGGTCAAGCAAGGTATCTCACACACATTGCTAGAACTCACTTGTTGCCTTCGTGGCTTGCAAAAGTGAATCAAACAACAGGGACACCAATTTATGCTACAATTGTTATGCTTGGTGCCACTGCTATAGTTGCATTTTTCACAAGCCTTAATATTTTGGCTAACCTCCTTTCAATTTCCACTTTGTTCTTGTTTTCTCTTGTGGCATTGGCCTTGTTGGTTCGCCGATATTGTGTTAGAGGGGTTACTACACGTTTTAACATAGTCAAATTCATTGTGTGCATTGTGCTCATTTTGGGCTCTTCAGTGGCCTCTGCTGTTTATTGGGCCCAAAGTACAAAATGGGTTGGCTATACTATAATGTTACCTATTTGGTTTGTGGGAACAATGGGGATTTGGCTTTTGGTTCCACTTGCAAAGAAGCCTAAGGTTTGGGGTGTGCCACTCGTGCCATTTTTGCCATCAGCATCGATTGGCATCAATATTTTCCTTCTTGGGTCATTGGATAAGGCTTCATTTAAAAGATTTGGAGTGTGGACTGCAATTTTGTTGGTATATTACCTATTTGTAGGATTACATGCATCTTATGACATAGTAGAGGCACAGAAGGAGGAGAAGAAACTAAAGACCGAGGCTCAGCTAAAGTTGGATGAAGAAAATGGTGATCCACCGGTGACAGGGTCAGCTACAAAAAATTAAAATTATGTATAGCAGGATTATTAACACATTGATGGTTATGTGATTGTTGTTATATATGTTCCACTTTGTATGTGATTATTGTTTTGGTGAACAAGTTTGTCAAATAAGGTTTGTTTGTATAAATGGTATTTTGTTTTCATTTTATTTTATTATAGCCTTCTTTAGTTCCTATATGAAACCATCCATACATGGAAGATTTATTAAAAAAGACCACCTTAATTTAGTCACTAAGAAATGATACTTGTGGATAATGTTTAAATGATGTGAAGAATATAAATCATTTTAGCCTTTTGTTTCTACCAGTTCATTGATTTAGTATATAATTGTTGATCCTCTTTCCTTTTTTCCCCAAAAGTATGAGGAATTTTGAAATGCAATATTTTCTACGCTTTCTGAGATCAATTGTTTTAAAATTTAAACTTGATTTGGTGTTACCTAATTAATAGTGTCGTTCTGATAAGCCCAACGATGATATTAAAGAGATATACTAAATATATTATATTAACAAATAATTTTATTATTATAGAATATTAATATATACTATCAATACATAAATATTAATATAGTGCATTATTATCTATAGGTCTTCAAATTCAATTCAATAATAATTAAATTTTTTGTCAGAAAAAAATATATTAAAAAAATGTCATATTAAATCTTAATAATTTTTTATTTGGTAAGAAATAAAAATGATTTCATAATGATTATGGTAGAATTTGATGCGTGATTTGGCAAAAGGTGTTCACATTTGCTACAAAAGGTTTCTGTACTAGCTCTCTTGTTCATTTATATATATTTTTACTTTAAATTAGGAATATAATTAATAAAAAAACTAAAATTTTCTTAAAATTTTAAAAGTAACATAAACATATAAATAAAATAGAATTGTTAAAAATAATAGGTAAAATAAAACAGAAAATATTACTCGTAGTAACTTATATACTCTTCTCTCTATTCACTTGATTTGAATTCACTCCTCCACTAAGAGACACTTATTTAGAGCTTTGTTATTTCAACTACTAAAAGTTGATATCATATATGAGATTGGTATAGTGTTGAATAATTTAAACAAACTGTTACATATAATTATTTTTATTCCACTCTTATTTTTTTATATACAGGTATCCCAAAATTAATTTTTTAAAAAAACAAAAAATTAAAGAATCCCGTGATGTATGTACAAATATTATTTCCCTTCTGTTTTGTCTCTGCCTTTGAAGACCCCCGACGTCACTGTCTCACGCCACACCAAAATGTATGGCTAAAATTGCATGGAAATATATTATGTACACATATGATATATTGTAGTAAACATCCTCAAAAATGTCGATAAAAAAGGACTCATTATTCAATTGTAAATGGATAAATTGAGAGGTGATATCGACGTAGTCAAAATGTTATGCTAATTTATGTGGGTTGTCACTGCTCTCCGTCAACGATTGCCATTATTTTGTGAGAACCGAAGAAGTAAACTTTTGTTATTCAATTTTATATTAATGATAATTATTATTAAAGAATTTATTAAGATATTCTTAATTTGTTCTTTTAGATATGATAATTTGGACAGCTCTCATTAATTAAACTCGATTCCTCCGCATTAAATTGGCCCCATCATTGCCCAATGATGTGTTGACGCCATTAAAAACCCACAACCCAACAACTTAAGCAAGGTGTGTAATTTGGTTGTTGGGTATCTAGAACATTTCATAGAGATGTGTATAGATTCCTTTATTTCTTATTAAAACCATTATGATATAAACACAAGGTAAAACTACCACACTTTGAAGGTGGCAAAATACCATTTTATTTTTTGCCATCACTTCTTTCTGGATATTGTGAGGGAAGTAAGGGTGTTTTAGTCATTTTGGATAATTGGAATGATAGATTTGTTTGAGGTACCATCATTAAACAGGGAAGAAGTAACTTTTTCAAAATGAAGCGAAAAATTCACCCTTGGGTTCAATATCATGTTTGAAAGAGAACTACTTCCACTCAGGTGAAGGGACAATCAATTTGGACTTCAGTTTTGGACTCTAGTGTCTTATCAAACTTTAAATCGTTTGTTTATAACATTTCTTCGTTATTAGTCTCATCTTTCTTCACTTTGACAAACTTTACCCATTACCCAAAATATTCCACATTTACTTTATTTGAACTTTAGATATAGGTTGTTCAATATATTGAATGTTTGATTTGATCTTAAATCACTTTTCAACTACTCACGACAAGTAACCCTTTATCGATGAAATATAATGTGTTTCAAAGATACGTACAAGAAAAAGTCAATCGATTTCTCTTCCCATGCAACAAAATGCCTCACCTTATAGTTCTTGACAAATTTTTGAAGTATTTTTCGTTATCTTTTATTTTTTGAGCACTTTTAAAAAATATGTATATATAAAAAATTAAGGAACAACTAAAAATTTAAAAATAATTATACAAAATATCAAATGCAATAAGAAATTTTAATCATTCAAATGACAGAACTGTCTTAAAAATTTCTTCACCCCTCCGTGATTACCGTTTGTTACACCGTTGAAGAGATCAGAAAACCAAACCGAACACTTGACATTTAAAAATTCAGCAATTGGGGCCTCACGTTGAAGATTAAGCATGGTTGTTGAAAAACAACCAAACCTGAACCAAGACAAGGCCTATCACATGTAGCACTATTAAGCTTGTTTCTACTATTTTTCTCTTTTGAAAGCGATATGCTACATAGTTTAGTGTTTTCCATTTTGGTATATCTTTGGTCAAAAATATTTGTAAGGTTTTCAAACCGTGCCTTCTTTGTTGACCAAGGACACAAAAATCCACACCCACCCACACAACCATGTCCTAGTCTCACAACCACCATTTCATGTGAACGTGACATTGGGGTTTTGTGAGGATCATTATCCACAACAACAAATTGGTTGTTATTATTATTACATCAAACAACATTATTGCTATTGCTCTTAAGTGAAGTGAAAAACCATTCCAAATTTTGGTTATCACCACTTCGGGGGTACATAGTAATCTCTAACAATGGGGAATACCTTGGGAGGGAAAAAAACCACAAAGGTGATGAAAATTGATGGGGAAACGTTCAAGCTTAAGACCCCAGTGAAAGTGGGTGATGTGTTGAAGGACCACCCTGGTCTTGTTTTGTTGGAATCTGAGGCAGTGAAGCATTATGGGATAAGAGCAAAGCCTCTGGAAGCACACAAAGAGTTGCAACCAAAGAGGCTTTATTTTCTTGTGGAGCTTCCAAAAGAGACAGTGCCAAGAAGGGTTCGTTCTGGCATTAACATGAGTGCCAAAGATAGGCTAGAGAGCCTTGTTCTCTCTCGAAGGTCTTCTTCTGACCTCACAATAATGAAGCCTCAAAGCAATGTTGAAGGGTCGTCACCAAATGGTGGAGTGAGGTTGAAAATGAGGCTTCCAAAGGCACAAGTGGAGAAGCTTATGCAAGGCTGCAAAACTGAAGCTGAAGCTGCACAGAGGATTATGGGACTCTACATGGCCACTAATAGCAGCAATGAGAGCGATAGCAAACGTGATATTGGGAGTAGTGAAAGTACGAAGGCACGTGAGGTATGTGCTTCCTACAAACTAGACATAAAGTTCATGGCTGTGGCTTGTGTTTCGTGCTAGTTAGATCTTCATTTTAACAACTTGTTTTTGTTGTACTTTACACTATATCCTTACTTTACATAGTCTCTAATGCTGTTTATTTTAGTATGCATTTGCTTTCATTTAGAAAATAAAAATAAAAATAAAAACTAGGTACAGTAGTTTAAGAGCTGTTTCTGTTTTACTTTAGACTAAAAATCCTTACGTAGTCTCTAATGCTGTGCATTTTAGTATGTACTTGATTTCATTTTTGAGAAAAAAAAATCAAATGGAGTAATTACTTAAATTTTTTAAGCTATTTCTAAATAATACTAGAATTTTACTTTCATATATGTGATATTAAATATTAACTTTTATTGTACATTTTTATTTAAGTAAAATTTTAATTTTGATTAGAAATACTATAAAAATATTTAAAATGTCATGAATTGCTACTTTAAAATCGAACACTTTCTAGCTATTCCACTTTTCAATTCTCCATGGATTACCGATTTTTTTCATTATATGAAAATATTATTTTTGGTGATTATGCTTTTACTTTCAAGAAAATCATTAAATTAATCTTTTAAAATTATGTGTTATTGTATTAACATTTCATGTTTTTACAAAAAAAATTTCAAAATTTAATATTTTATCAAATCAATTCTTTAAAAATATTTTATGTCACCGCATTAGTATTTAATGAGGATAAATATGATGATATTACCAATCTTTCAAAAGTTATTTGGTCATATTTAAAAAAAGAAAATAGTATGATAATATTTGACATTTTAAAGTATTAATATGGTAAGAAAAAGTTTAGACAGAAACTACAGTATTTCATATAATTTTTAAAAGAAAATATTAAATAGTGGGTGAAATGCTTTTTGTAAAAACATACGAAAGCAATCTGTCTTCTCTTCTAACAATTTTCCTATCTCTTCAAACTATTCAGTCTCTCTCTACTTATATATCATTCTCCCTATATTGGTTAAATATCTATTCATAACCCCTTTTAAAAAAAGTCATTTGATTGTTATTTAAAATAAAATAAAAACAAGTTCATAGTTTTTCCTTTACCTTTCACATTTTATTTGGATAGTAACTTTGTAAAGTGTCTGAGTCTTTCATAGGCCAAAGATCAGCTTCTTACTATAACTTTTACTGCAATCAAATTTGCCGTTATATATCACAATGAAGTGCGAATAATATATAATTAAGGAAGTGCATTTCTTTCATTATTCGAGTTCAATTTATTTGATTATTGTCCAAATGCAGTAAGTTAATTACGTAGAGTTTGCAATCGTCATCAATATTATTATTGAACAGAATTTGCTGCTTTAGTTATTCTTTAAATTATTATTATTATTATTATTATTGATTACCTGTCAATGATTTTTGGAAAAATATAAAACGGACAAAACTGTAAATAAATATATTTTCTCATATTGTCTTAATCATTTACATGCATATTTAAAGACAAACATAAAAGGACAAAACTATTAATGTTTGTTTTAACAAATATTAGTGATTTTTAAATAGTTCTTAACATTTTCTACATAAAACTATAACTCACTTTATATTATTATTAAAGTTTATGTACAATTTGATCCTTTAAACTGAATTTTTATTTATCTTTGATAAGCAAAGTTTTATTTTAAATGATTTAATCTCCTAATGCCTTAATTTACTCATATTTTAGTCGTTCTCGCACAAAAGTGTAAGTAAAATATAATAAAATTAACATGTTTAGAGACCGAATTGTATACACCAATACTTTTCGGTATCAATTGGTATTCAAAATAGAAATAAGAAAATTAACATATTTTAAAATCAAATCATATAAAATAAAATTAAAAAAAAACGGATAAAATATTATTTTCATAAACCAATATATATTTACTTTTATTATTAGTATTATCATAATGCGAGTTGACCATCAATATGTTAATTCGATATAAAAGATGTAACAGTGATACAAATCGTGTGGTAATTACAATTATCTATTGAAAACATTTCATTTTTATTAGTAAACAACAATAATCCTGCTACTAATTTATAACATGCATTCAAATTATTACCTTATAAAATGGCACGCATTGTAAGTACTCCAATATAATTAAAGAGTTTTCCTCATAAAATTTTAGCACTGGCAATCATTTCAAGGATTGCATTTTCTCATTAAATATATTAATGAGGATGAGTCTACAATTCTAAACACTATCTAGACACAGCCTGCTTGTGGCTGCCTCATGGTGAATAAGTATTCATCTTAAACCTCTAGTCATTTTTAAAATTCATTTTACATATTTGTAAATTATTATTAATTTAAATTATTATATCATAAACTTATTATGCTATTATTTTGTTAATTTGTGAATAAAATTATGTTATTTAGATATATGTATATAAATATTAATTATTTAAGAGTTTTATTCATTTATACATTTATTAAAAAATGATTTAGTATTTATTTTGAGTATAATAATAATTATAAATATTATCTATTAAAAATAAAAATGTACAATTCTTTAATTATAAAGTTATGCTAAATGAGTTCATGATTCAAAAGGTTAAAAAAAATATAAAAGAAGAATCAATAATTTATGTTATATTAAATTCCTTTAATAGTTATGGTTAAAACCTCAAATTTAGACACGGCCCTGTCTAGATGGACATTTAAATAATAATAATAATAATAATAATAATAATATCATTTAACATTATCGTTCATGACTTATATATATATATTTCTAAGATCATTAGATAACCCACAACCCATTTTCTATAGATATCGATCCCAACCTACTGAAGAATTAAATGAATTTACTTCTCATAAATCAAAAAGCAATGACATAACTAGTAGCCATCTGAACAATTCTAAGAAAATACAAGAACAAATTCCTCCCCACTCCTATTCATATAGCAAACGACAAACAAAGTGCTATTTCATGTACGCAATATATTGATATACAAATGGTTAAACGATCTGTCTATTTCAAGTTGTTGGGTCTACAGAGGAAAATGATTCTTCGACATATATTGTATAATAGTGTATTAAAAACAAATTGTAATAAGGCTTGGTTAGTGCTATTATTTGTGAAGAAAGAGTGGTTGTGCATATAAAATTATTATGCACACAATTGTATGTATTATATATCTATAACATTTGTAGCTATTACATCATATCAACATGATTAGGAGTGTTTGTACTTTGTACCCACTAAATTGTTTGTTCTGGATTGAAAATTATTGCAGAAAAAGGTGAGTTTTATGCCAATCAGTGAAATAGCCGTGGCTACGTAACCATTTGTTTCAGTGTGAACCCTCATTGGTGCTGCTAGCTAGGGAGAGTATCTCACGGAAAGGAATGAGTTTTCTGCAGCTTAGTGTAATATAAGAGTGATGTTACTTGCATAATATATTTATGAATCATAAACGGTTGCAATAATCATATGGGTGTCTGCATGTTAGTTTATTGAACAGTAAAATGTAGTTCATTAATTCAGGCACCTTCTAGGTTGTGAATAATTGTGAACGTATGTGATTTCAATAACATTACTCGTTAAATGGCTGTATATGAATTATAGGGAAAACTACTATAACCCTGTTGAAATGGTGTAGAGAAGAGACATCATGAATGGCTGTACAATTCAATGGTGCTTCTCCGAAGTTAATCGTTGGCCTTTACCTAAAAGTCTTCAACATGGAATCTAGAATTAGATTTTAAAAATTACAAAACATAAAAGATAAAATTTAAGGAATTTTTTAAAAAATATATATTATGCTATTTTTACTTCAAAATTAAATTTTTACTTTAATAATTTACAATAATATTTAATATAAATTTTTTTATTGAGTAAAATTTTAATTTGAATATAATACTAAGAAATTCAATAGTTTTCAATAAAATAGAAAGAAACTTATTTATTATGTATATCTAATAGAATATCCATTTAATATCATTTTTTACTTAATTGTAAATCTATGCTCACAAGTATTAATAAAAATAATATTTAAATAAAATTTCTATAATTTACTTTTGATATATTAAATTAATAATATTCTACTTCTTTTTATATGGATAAAATTACTCTAGGATGAGTCTAAACTCTTGTCAAGTCTTACTAAATATTTTGAATATTTATTTAATTTTTTATATATTTTTTTATAATTCATTATTAATAAACATAAATTTTAGTAAAAACAATTATATTTGAATCGAAGAAGGCCACGTATTAAACTGAAACATCTTCGTGTTAATTAATTCACATGTTTGATGCTCTACAAGATAAATTTTATTAATTTTCTATATAGAATAAATTATCTTTCTAAATCAAACAATAAAAAAAACTTTATGGAATTATAAAATAGAAATTTCTGTGTTAGAAAAACAAATTAAACCAATAATTAAATCCTTTTTTAGGTAATCTAAGAGTTGTTACTTCATAAAGGTCACACCACAGGGCTAAGATTTGTTAAATTTTATTTATTTAAAAATTTTCATCAAATAAATTAACTTTATAAAATTAACATATATGAATACCGACTTCTGAATTGTTAAGCTAAAGTGAATTTTTCAGCAAAATCCCACATTATTTTTTTTAATATTATAAATGTATTTTTTTTCATATATTTACTTACTGCAATATATATAAATACAATAAATGTATGTTAAAATTTGTAGACGTAAATGAAAAAATATCGATCCATGTTAGAGTTTATGTTTTTTTTTTCAATTATTTTTTTCTTTTCATACAAGTATTTGTAGAGATAAAAAAAATATATACAATTTAATATATATAATTACGAAGATAATATTTCATGATTCAATGGTTATATTAATAAATCTTTGATTCTAAAATCAAAACTTATTATCTAGTGTAAGACTTCAAATTTACTGTTAATGGATCCTCATCCGGTATATATATGTCTATAGAAGAACGATAATCAAGCTCTTCCGGTGCGCCTTCCAACTTTGAGTGCCAATTCGGTGTCAATTTTGAGGGAGATGTCTAGTGCTTTTACAGAATGAGTCAACGAACCACTGCCCAAAAGCCAAGTCAGTAGGGTAATATACTAATATTTTCAAGAAATAGTAATATAATCGAGTTTCTTAAGCCAATTCGGTGTCAATTGATTTGAAGCATCGCTACTCAAGACATGAGTTCCAAAAACAGATTCTGTCTCCATGAGGTCTTTTTTATGTCTTGGATCAATCAGTCTCACGATGACAAAAGCAATTCACAATTAAAATCATGAACTTAACGACACAAGCAGACATGGAAGGAAAATGTATTCAGATGCTAAATGTCATGAATTGCTTTGGAATTACCGAATAAAAGGTTTACCTAGAAATGTAGGTTACTCCACTTTGCCCGATTTTATCTGCTGTATCCAGAGTGACATTACCTGATGCCTGACGTTACAAAATGGCACAGGAAATTAATATACTCAACCTTATCCAAATTTAAGCTATCCACATAATATAATATCTAAGATTCTGAAATTATTAAGTGGGCCAAGTTAATAATGAACACAATAATGTACGAAAAGCTAACTACTCTAATGGAAAAAGGTTATGACTTACGACAATAAAAACCATTATAGCACTCTCTTTCACGGAATGCTTCGTGTTTATTACAAAAATAGTCATCACATAAAAATATGATCTGAAGACATAAGGGCCAACATTAGAGTGTAAAGCCAAAATTATATAGCTTACGTTACATTTTGCTGATTGGCAACAAATTGATAGAAACAAACAATGATAGAAATTAAAAAAAAAAAATAGAAAACCATTACCACAAAACACTGCAGTATTTATTCTAACAAATAATCCAAATAATGTTATAAAGATTAAATTAAGCCAATTTAGTTGTATATACCTCAGTCTCAAATCTCCCATTGACCAACTGCACAGCTTCTTTCAGCATAGATATGTCCACGTCTCCATTTGGCATAGGTACGATCATATTATCCAACATTATTCGAGTCAAAGAAGTACTAGCTTGGGATGAATAACGTAATACTTCTTCCACTTCTTCAAGAGTCCTGGTCTCAACCTGGGAAAAACACAAACCTTGAGCTTGAAGAAACATCAATGGGAACCCAGTGAACTTGTGTCTTCAGTTACTGGAGCAGTAGGGACCAAAATTTAAGTTGTGACAACCCTGTACATGTTACAGGTAGGAGACGAAAGAGGGAATAGAGATGTAGAATCTTTTTCAGGGAAATGATAGAAGGGCTGCAAGGGGAAGAGGGGCAGTGAGCAAATCATTCAATAAGGTATTAGGGCCTTAGAGCAGGGAGTAGGCAGACCCTCAAAGATCTGGAGGCGTTTTCATCAATTTTTTATGCTTTTAAGTGAAATCAAGAGGGATTTTCCCTATAATAAGGAATTATACTCCATTATTACTTGTAACATCTGTTCTCATCATCTTGTTGCCGCATCAAAAAATCATTTGTTACACAAATTATTATCATATTGCAAAGTTGACAAGAAACCATTAAACAACTTTAAAACTCACAGCACCTGCTAATATGTCAATTGGATCTTGGCAGGCATTGCAATTTAGATTAACTTTCACAGTTTAGAAAAGACAGTTAAGACCTTAAAAAAGAAAAGGAAAAGAAATGTGTAAAACAATGAAAGAAAACACTACCTCAACCTCCATTTGAAGATTTTTTTGCTTTAGATACAGGTCAACAGCTCTAAGGGCATTGGTAACCCCACCAGCTGTTGATATATGATTATCTTTTATCATCACCATATCAAACAAACCCATCCTATGATTCCGGCCTCCACCAATTAATACCTATAAAAATAGGTGTAAACTAATTTATTGAGCAGATTTTACATTTTACATTTAGAAGTATAAATGGTTAATAATTATAGCAAGGAAGTGATCCAAGGTCCAGACCGCCCACTTATCCACTAAACGTAAACCTGGAGCAGTTTTTCTAGTCTCCAACATATATGCAGGGTAGGCTGCATTTGCCATTGCCTGTGGAAAAACATGAAATCTGTAATGCACCAAGAATTATAAGATAAAAAATGATAATTTCACAAATTATTTCTCCTAATGAGATGTAACAAACTACCATCTTTTACACTCAATATGAATTGATAATATAACTGACAGTAATTTGTGACACTAATTACTTCTCATATTGATGACAAATTTGTTCATTACGTTTACAAAAACAATTGGAAGAAGACTTATTGTCAACAGTTTGTGAAATTGTTAGGCCTCGTGACTACAACCTTCGTGACAATATAACGAGTAGATAAGGAACTTGGGATTTAGAGGATAAAATGGAAGTATGGGAAGGAAAATTATGCAGAGGGACGTTTTGAGTAGGATTGGCCATTCCTAAGGCTAGAATTGTTTCTCTAGGGATCTCTCTATTCTGTTTTTTCTTTTCTTTTGTGGTATCTCTGTATTCCAAGAAATGCCAAATTCCCTTCTTGGGTAAAGAATATTCCACTTCTCTTATTAAAACCAGTTCCCATCAGAATGCAATGAAGACGGCGTCTCATTAGAGATTTGCTTCAACTGTAAATTGCAAAGTTCTTATTAAACTCAGGAAAATTCTACTAGATGACTGTAAGACCAGTAATGTTATATGGTAGTGAATATTGGGTAACAAAGCCAACAAGAGCACAAATCAAGCTTAGCATGTGGAGATGGGGGGATATACAAGAAAAACTAAGATTGAGAAGAATATATACAAGTGTAAGTAGGTGTTGCACTTACTGAGAGAAATTGGGAACGGGCATGCCCAATGTATAGGATCATGCAAGAAAACAATTAAAAAAAAACCTTGCCCTCAATGGTTTTATTGAAAATTTGGTTTTTGATAGGGCTTAAACTGTTTAATGGCATTGATCAAAGCTTATGATATATGAGAAGCCTACACAGTACAGAAAACATCCTAGACCATTCACCATTCACAAATAAAGCACTTGCTGCAATTAAAAATTTGATATTGTAATGCCATTTAAAATGATAATTATGCATCCAAAACAACTAATAGAATTTTTCAGTAATTATTCTTCTGCATCATTTCTACCAGACTGAGTAGAACTCATCTCCAACAAATGAAAAGTTAGAATTGTCTTGAATTGCTCTGGATACTTTTAAAGTCAGTTGTAGTCACCCAAGAGCCACACTATACATGCAGCATACTGCAAGAACCTATGACAAATCACTGAATGCTATAGCAATAGCTATGGCATGATATTAACAACTATGTTCTAGACAAAATGGCTACAAATCCAAGTAAATCATCTTCTAAAATCTAACCAATAGTTCCATTTTGAAATCTTGATGCAATGTTTCGCTCATTGCCAATAATGAACACCAAATCATTTCAATAGCTTTAGAGACCTTTAAAACAGCATGTAATGTTGCTAACTACGTTTAATATGATTTTCATAGCAATCAGTTAACTAGTTGTAATCATATTATTAAAAAATTAGCAAAAGAAAAAGATTTAAGAAAACAAAATATTACCTTAGTTAAAGTGGCAATGCCACTCATTCTCTGCATAAAGTTTAGCACTACCCTTTCAGCTACGACAATGCTATGTGCCCTTCCTGTACACATATTACATATTACTGAGGATCAATAGAAGCAATTCATGAAATTAACTAAATATTAACAATGTGCTTTATTCCGCTTTCTTTTGCAATTATGTTTTCCTAATAATCATCTTACCATGAACTTTTCCAAATTGTAGCCCTTTATGGATAACATCTCCATCATTTACAGACCAGTCCACCTGATATTTTAAAGTAATCGTAAAATGATTTAGCCAAGTACCAAGCACACTTATAGTGATATGACATCTGCGTATTGCTCTCATACCTTTAAAGAAGGATCAACCTCATGAAATATCATCTCTGCAAGTGCTATTCCAGCAACGATGCCATCCTCCTTTGCCAAAAAACAAGCTTCCACTTCCATGTCAAATGGAATGGTGGCCATGCATGTTACATCACCTAAAATTGAAACAACTTTGATACTCAATGCCATATGTACGTAACTACCAAATAACAGAGTATGTATCATTCTCATTGATAGAACTGGATCAGAGTGTGTAGAAAAGGAATCAAAACTTTATTAAACGGCACCCTAATCCGAAGTTCTCACACCATAGCGGTATAGGGTCTTTGATCTCCCTCCTGAACTTTCAAGAGGTCCAAAGCTCTCTTCACCCAACTGCTTTTCAAGTTATTTCCAATCTACTCCTCTTGGGTCACCCACTCCTATTCGCTTGTTCTAATTCACATTAACCGTCTAACTAACCATCAGTTGGTCACTACCAATTATGTTACAATGCTTCGGGTGTCATCCCCTTTTGCCCTTCCTAGTTCTCCTACTGTACATGTGCTTTATGACAGACTTAGCATATCTATCAGTTATTTATTTGGGCACAAGCATAACAACACAAAAGTTTATCTTTATTTATATTTTATAATAAACAATGCAGATAGGAACTCGAGAGCACATATGTGATAGTAAAATTAAAACTCATGAAGCAACATTACATCTAGAGCAAGAACTGAGACGAAAGTTCAGGGATAAACCTCGGTCCCCAGCATCTTCTGCAAGCGCTAACTTGATAATGCCCTTCAAATCATAAGTTGGGTGCATGGGAGGCTTTATTGCAAAGGACTCATAAGAGATCCCAGAGTCTGTGAATCCAGTCGCAGACATTTTTACAATGTTCCTGCACTTATACACAATTTGAAACAAACCAATAAGAAAAGACATGACATCTATCAAGTGAAACAGGAAATATTTTGAGTGAGTTTGGGAAGACAACTTAATTAAACACTTATTCAATAAGCTCTTTTTATACACGGGGGCCTATCGTATAAATTTAACCATAAAATTCTTGAAATAAGTCGAAAAAAACGTAATCTGATAAACTATACTGAAAAGCTTATTGAAATAAACTGAAAAGAGCTTATAGGCAGGATTCGATCGATTGCGTAAGTAATTACTTAATTCAGATGGCCAGGATTCATAAGCTTTTCTCAAAGTAAACAACAGGAAACAAAACACCACCAATTAATTCATACTTAACCTGGAATTTATCTAACCAAGAAAAAGAAGCACCCCTCTATATCACCAAATTTGAAAAGAGCACTTGTTCAGCATTATTTCTGAGTTTTCACCATACCCTATGTCAAAATTATAATAACTAATTGCAACGTCGTTTTCTCAGTTACCTGACTCTTGAATTTGATTGCCTTGGGAGTTGAAGCGAGAAGCTGAAAGATGAAATCAAACGCAGTTTCATCAAGCACTGAAAAATCAAATGAAATGCGGCGTTTCATTGAGGGGTTGTGTTACAGAGTGAAATACAAAGTTGCGTGTTTTACACTATACTAGGGATAAGAATAGGAAGAAGAAGAAGAAGAAGAAGAAAGACCTCAGTGCAGGGGGAAACGGTGCGTTCCGTTCTCTGATGTGAAAAGAAGGTTGTAACAAGTACCCTTGTCTGCAGCTTATAGCCATGTTTTTTAGACTCTTTTCAATGAGGTTTGAGAAAAATGAGTACTGCTTTTGTCACCATTGGTTTCAAGACTGAAGATGGGATTCTATTCTGATTCTTTAGTTAGAAGGTTCATGTTCCTTGTGTGACGTGACGCTAAGTTCCTTTTTTTTTTTTTTTTTTTTCTCGTAAATCCAGAGGATGAAGACCATCTTTGATAACTTGTGTGTTTTCACTCTGTTAATTTGGTTTATAAGCCGTAAAATTGTTTGATGAACAGATATTGTAATTTTTATTTTTTTTAAATTATTTAAAGAAATATTTAATTTTCAATTTTTTATTTACTTTAATTTTATTTCTTTTATTTAAATATATTTTATACTAAATTTTATTTTTATATTAATATTAATTGTTAATTTATTAATATTTTATTTAATTAAATGTGTATTATATACAAAGTAAATTCTTGTTGTTGTTGAAAAGTTATTTATTTCAAAGTGTAAACAAAAACACCTTTTAATATTTTAATTATTTAATTAATTGATTGATAGTAAAATAAATTATATATAATTTTAATATTATATTATATTTTTTAAATCATTTAAAAAATTAATTAATTAATTATATAATTAGTTTGTTAAACAACTTTAATTCAATAAATTACTAATATATATAAATTTTTAACTAAAAATTTATAATTTTCAATTAAATTTACTAAACAAAGTCAAAATATGTAAAGGGTTGATTATGAAATTAATGATGCAACATGTCCCAAAGTTAGATGTAAGAATTTTTTATTTCAAAAGCATAGGTATAGTAATAAATTGTAGATATTTTTAAAAAGAATTGGCTAAATCATTTTGAATATCAGCATGAGAGAAGAGTATTCAATATTATTATTTGTTAACATATAATGGTCATAAAATACTTTTGAAGTAAACTCACTACCGTAGTTTAGACAAAATGTTCTCATTGAATGATTAAGAAAACTTAATCCTAACTTATTATTTGAACTAAGGAATGCATTATTTGGAGTAAATCAAAACAATAAAATAGAAAGAATATTCACAAGGTGGATGAATTGGGCCACAAATTCATACTTGTATTCTTTGTATAAAAGCAAAATGTCCATGAATAATTTAAATACAAATGGTTTCACAATTGATTTCTCTAAAAGTACATATATAATCATTAAGTAAAACAATCTTGTAATTTTCCAATGGATAATATCTCACATCATAGTTAAATTAAGATGACCAAATGATCATGGCAAAATATTAGTGTCTTAACATATGTACACTTCTGGTGCACATAAAAGTATTACTTGTATAACTATAAATATGCTAATTTTCTGAATATTATGAGTATCTAAATGACCAACTTTTACTTTTGTTCCTTTTATAAACAGATAGTAAGCTGAAACTGGAATTGCTTGACACAGTATTTTTTACATATTGTTAGTTAACTTATTGCTTGCTTACAAACTATTTACCCTATTTATCGAATAATAACAAAATTTATTTTAGATTCAATATTTTTTTATCCATTGAAATATTATAAGATCTTTAATCTTAAAAAAATTGTCTTAACTTAAATAAATATAACAATAAATTAATAAACTATATATATATATATATATATATATATATATATATATAATTTTAGTGATTGAAAAGATGTGAATTACTCCAGAAGAAGAAATAAGGAGGTTTATTGATGAGAAGAGGAAAAAAATAAAAATAAAACATTCTTGAATAAAATTTATTAAAAATATATAAAAGATAATTTTGAGATTTTAATTTTATGATATAATATTTTAATCCAAATATTTTGAACATACTTTCAATTTCGTCCCAAACTCCTCTTCCATTTTGGAATAAGCTAAAATTAAATAAAGACTTAAGAGAAAGTTAAGAGCATGTTTATTTTATTTTTTAAAAATAATTTTTATTTTTAAAAACAGGAAAAAAAAGCATGCACTTAGTTCACTTTATTTTTTTTTAAATATGAACCAAATATTCAAAATAATTATAAAAATTATTTCCCTCTTTATGCTTCCTCTCTAAATTCCTTCCACCAAACACTATTCAAAACATTATATGAAAGTGGACTGAATAACTCAATTTCATTAAAATCCAAAAGAATTTACGGCAAATAATGTCAGAATACGAGAACCGATTTCAAATGGCCTTTGGAATGAGGTTGCTTAAAATTAATGGGGAAAATTGCCGTAAAACAAAAAGAAAGCAATTTAATTTTCTTTTGTAACCTTTAGAATTAAAATAATTCAATTGTAAGTTGAAAATAAATTACTGTAATCAAGGTGCGATTAATGGCTCTATTTATTATTTTATAAAAAATCATTACACGGTGTAATGCTTTTCTTAAAACAGATAAATCTCTTTCTTAATTTTTTATTATAATTTTGAATAAAAACAAATTATCACAAGAGTTGTTATGACTAATACTTTTTATATCACGTAAGAATGAAAATGATACGTTTAAACTAATCACAAGATATAAACTAGGCTTAATTAAATGTTTAATTTCAACAAAAGTCACAAATAAAACTTAGTCTTTATAAAAAAATTTATTAGAATATAGTTCTTAATTTTATATAAGTTATTATTTTTAGTCTCTCTAATTAATATGTATCAATATGGTCAAATCAAAAACTAACACTTAATAGTATTTTAATAAATTACACTAATTAGAGGAACTAAAAATAATAATTTGTAGAAAAATAAAAACTATACAGTGACAAAATATTTAAGAAAAAATAAGTTTAAATTATACATTTTTTATAAAAAAAATATTTAATTAAATCTATAAATTATTAAAATTAATTTTTTAAATCACGTGATTACTTAAAAAATTATATAATTTTTTGAAATTAACATATCACTTTTAGTTATAAACATTCATAATAAATTCAAAAAATGGTTGTAATTTATTCCCTATTTCACATAGAAAAAAAACTTTCTCATAATTGGATAACTGTGTAACAAAAATTTACACTTCCTATGTATTTAAATTAAATTTGTATTATTCCGATATTACGTCTCATTATGTGTATGATATATATTTATGTAGGCAGAAGTATTAAATGTCTGTTCTCATTATGTTTTCTAAATAGGCTGCTGCTGTTATTATATTCAACAGACAACAAAGTTTTCAAATTCTTGTTCAAAAGCAGCATTAGATGTTTTAAAATTTGCGTCATGGGCGTTGAAAACCTGCAAGAATTTAATAAATTTCGTGTTCCTTGATGGATCAAAAATTCAATATCCCACTTCCACCGTTTTCTCATCCAACAGTGTATATAATTAGATATTCTCCTCCTCAAGAAATCAAGCAGTGGTAGAAAGAAGCTGGCTATTATCTTATTCAAGGGACGATCAAGCTATGTCGTGTTTTGGAAAATCTGTTTCGGTTGTGTTTCTTGCAGCAGTTTTGGTTTTCTCGGGGTTGGTTTCAACAGGTGAGTGCATCAGAGACTTGAGAAACTTCAAAAGCTTATTTCAAAGCGAATTACCAAAGGGGCCAGTGCCACCATCTGGACCTTCCCTATGTCACAATAAGCTCAATCCTTTCAAAGACAACAAAGTTTCATACCCACAAGATTACTATATCATTTGTCCATAGCATGTCAAGGATGAGAAATATTTGTAGGATTTCATTTTCATTTTCATTTTTTGTACTTTTAGTATGATCCTCAGATTCTTCTATTAATAAGGGGACAAAATCAGCTTAAGCATATGCTGATTTGAGTTGCAATAAAGTTTTTTTTTTCTTTTGGTGTAGTGATTGTGCCGATACATTATAAAATGAAACATTATTTAATACTTGAGCTTGAGCGTTTTTCATGCTTCATTTCATGTTAATTGTTGTTGCTTCTGTTTTAGGAGGTTGAGAAACAAGGTTTTGTGAATGAGGTATGAAGAGAATGGTAAGAAAAGAGCTATGAATTGAAATAACACCATGGCACACAAAACAAAATAAATTTGTCTCCAAAATATACACGTAAAGATTATGGAATCTACTATTGAACATGCAGATCAATTAGTTTTAAAAACCCAAATTTGTGTTAGAACTCTATACAAGGAGCTGCTGCATATTTAGTTGAGTCATGGTTCCTTTAACTGACATTAGAACAATATCTGATGCTAAACTCCATCCTATTGTACTCAAATCATTAAGAGAGATTTAGCATGGAAAATATAAAAAGGTGGAAAGGTTAATTTTATTTTATTTGCCACTGAAGCAAAGTTAGCTTCCATACTTCTGCTTTTATTCTAAATAAATTAAGAGACTGTTTGACTTTAAAAATTATTTTCTCTATTACAAAACTATTATATTTTTTTTAAAAGATTTATACAAAAATTTAAACTAGAGATTACCTGTTAAACTGAAATAATTCAAGCTAAAATGATTCATGTTTTTGCCAAGTTGTTATATTTTTTAACTTGTTTTAAAAAGTTAGAAAAAAAATTATTATTTTTAGAGCTTATGTATTCTGGGTTAGACTTTTCTGTGAGATTCTGGTTATTAAGATTCAATCAGTACTCTATTAAGGTTGCATTTTATCTTGGAGTTCAAAACCAATGCTAAATATTTTAGAATATTAAAAATGACCGATAATTTATTCAAACAATGTCAACGGTGCTCTCGTGTCACTGTTTATGAATATTATTTAAAGAAATAATAAATAATAATTTAAAAAATGAGTATTAGAATTAACTAAAAATTATGAGATTTAAATATTTTTTACCTTTATAAATAAACCTTTGGCTCCTTTCTTCCATGCTGCTCTCATAATATTAGAATTCCATCATGCTTCATTGCCAAGTCGATTGTTACCTTCTTAAACTAGTAACAACAAATTTTATTGAAAGATGGTGATTTAAGTTGCTTTTTGATTAATGTATTTACCTCTTATTCATCTAGCTTGAATTTATAGGATAGTTAAGTTGTGTTGAATTTTAAGTTTGCATGTTGGTCTTCTTTTGTAGAATAATGTATTTATTGTATATTATTATATTTAACATCATTTAATTGCAAGCATTGTTGGCCTTTATACAACTATGAATATTTGACAAAATATATGGTATTATATGATAATAAAAAAATACACCTTAATTCAATATATTTTCACAATTTTTTCACTCTTATATAATATAAATACTTATAAATTAAATACTTAAATTACTTTGATATAAAATTTTCTTTTTGATATAATTATTATTTGTTTAAGCTATTTTCTATTCTTGTAAAACTTTGTATAACCCTTGATTTTAACAATTAATCTACATGGGAAAAAATTACTTTGACCACTTAAAACCTCACAATACAATAAGTCACTGCCAAATAGATGGAATGTACTAATTCTTGTAACCATTGTTAATTTCTTTTTTACTAAATATCCTTTTATAATCAGCCCATAAATGACATGGAAAGAGGACTAGAAGTGCAAGAATAAGTTTGCTTTTGGAGTTTGCTATGGGGTAAAAAAACTCTTCACTTCTGCATAACAGAGTGAGAAAAACTTTAGCTTGTTCAAATTACCATATTTCTTAAGAAAAATCGTATGCTTTACACCTTCAAAAGAGGGGACAATGGAGATCGCTCAAGTCACATGGTTAAAGACATGTTCTATTGGTTCTTATGAAAAATCGTATGCTTTACACTTTTTTTTCAAGTTCCAAGATTTAAAGTTCTTTACATCTCTAAAAATACACGTAATTAAAACTAGAAACTAATCTCAAAACAACAAAAAAATATAAAAAAAGAGAGAATAACGTAACAAAATGTTAAGTAAATTTATTATAATATACATAATTTTTTTATAATATTATATTTTCTTCTCTATCGCATCAATCGTTTTATCTCACTTTTTTATTTATTTATATTGGACAAAATATTGTACAAATTTATAGTCGAAATAAAACTCTTGTTTAATATAACATTCAATGAAAAGGGGGTTTTAGAGGAGACAGAGATCAAATCAACAAAAAAGCACAAAAACATAATAAAATTATAACTTGTGAAGTGTAAAAGAAAAATAGAAAGATAAAAAGAATCAATTGATCTTCTTATCCATGTTCTTCACAAGCTGACCCATTTGAAACCTCCAATACAAGAAATAAGCCAAGCCGAATCCGATCATAACATACATCCAAACATTCTCACCCTCACTTTCCTTGGGAGACTTCACCTCCTCAATCCTAAAACTCTCCCTCTCCAAATTCCCCAAAATACCCTCCTTAACACTTCCATACAGCACATACATCCTATCTCTTTCCCCCACAACAACCGAAGTAGGGTACCCCTCCAAGTCAAGGTCAATTTTGTCAAAAACCGCACCCTGTCCCCATCCATCATTGCTTTTTAGAAACCACAACTTGTTGCTTTCGGGGGATACCACCAAAACGACGCCGTCACTCCTCAAAGCGACGCCGTCAGGACACACCAAATCCTCGCTAAGGAGCACGTGCCTGGCAGTGCCGTCGTCCGCATCAACCTTGAACATCTTGCCCGTATTGGATTGCACCACCAAGAGATACCCGTTGCTGACGTAAGCGATGCCGTTGAGGCCGCAGTAACTATAGGTTGTGTCGCGGTCCACGGGGTGTTCGGTGAACCTCGATGAATTCGAGAAGATCCACGCTTCCCCTTTAGCGTTGACTTTCCAGATGTAGTTGCCGGCCGAATTGGTCACGTAAGCGTTGCCTTTGAAGTCCACTGCGACGTCGTTTGCCACGGGGCGTTCGGAGGGGTCGCCGGAGGAGGGGAGCACGGAGAGGAAGATGCGGTTACCGGAGCGTAGGTCGTAGGCGGCGAGGGCGTTGAACGGAGGGAGGGGTTTCAACGCGTGGAGTGCGGCGACGACGCGGTTGTTGCGGGAATCCACGGCCATGCCTAGAACGGTGACGTTTTCGGGGAGTGAGGGGTCGGAGATTAGGGTTTCCACGACGCCGGCGTCGGAGACGGCGGAGATTGTGCGGTGGGTTAGGGAGCCGACGAGGAAGTGTTGCCCTGTTGGGTCCCACGTGAGGCCTTCGGGATAGAGGTTGGGTGATCGGAAATTGATGACGTGGAGGTTTCCGGCGAGGATCGTTGAGATTTGGACAGCTACGAGGAGGAAGGTGGTAAGGGAGGGAATTGGCATGGTTGAGTTTTGGTGTGTTTGTTTGTGTTACGAGCTTAGCTTAATGCTGCAAACTCAGGATTTATAAAATCGTTTATAAAGAGTATAGGATTACGATTTTCTTCACTTTCTTGTCAAAGGGGTTGTTTTTAGGTGTAGGTCGTTTCTTGTCAAATGGGAAAGGTGTTCAATATATCTTTTCCCCCTTATTTCTTTCAATGATTCTTTAATTTTTTTCTGTCACTAAATCTTCTTTAAATTTGAATTAAAATGAAAATATCATAATTTAAATTGTGAGTAACAAATTTACAGTTGTCGATATATTGAGTTAAAATAATAAAATTTAAATTTTTTTACCTTAATTTAAAATTATAGAAATTGAGTAATATACTGAATTAAAGAAATAAAATGAAAAGTATTGTTATAAGCAATAAAAAAATATAATTTACCTCTTTTTAAGATTTTAATTTTCAGCCTTTAAGTTATTCTGTTGCACATTCATAACATTCATTGGAGCTAGATAAATTTGAAAATTTTAAGAAAAAATTTAATTAAAAAAAGCTAAATATAAAGTGATTGAATTTAAATCACTCATCTGGATCAAAATCTTAATTAGTTCTTCGAGGTAGCCACTGAATTTAAAATTATGTAAAATTAAATTTAAATTAATTGAAATATATAAAAATTAATTTTGATTATATATTTTTATTAAAATATGTATCTTGTATTAAAATTTATTCTTTTATCAAATTGAATTTATTCTTAATATTTATATTCCAAGTTATTTTTAACTCTAAAACATTATTATGAGTTCAATACAGGTAAATATTTTGATAGTATTTAGTGCATGATATCTTAACGTTCAAACTCAATACTCTAGTACCATGTTAACAAATTTTAACTTAATTGAAAGTTAACTTATAAGAGGAGTATTATCCTAACTCTTATAAAAAGTATTTTAGCTTTAATTCTAGTTAATGTAAAATATCTTTAACATTTTTTATGGCAGACTTTGAATGTCTAAGTTCTGTGACATTTGCTTAAAGTTTTTCCGATACATGTTGCGATAGATTTTAATACAAAAATGTAAGTTTTAAGAAGATATTTGAATACAACCGACTTTTGGTCTAACTAGTATTCCTTCAAAATAAATATAACTGATATTAACTTTTGAATTTAACTCTATGTGGTTTTATTACATCCTATTGTAAAAATTTAGTTAACGAGATTGAAATAAAATGATAATCTAATAATGATTCATCACACCATCTAATTATTTTATCAAACCATCTTTAGACCTTTAACTTCATGTATATTTGACGTTAAAAAACATCAAAATATAAATCTAATTAAGAAGTTATGATCCGTAATGTTGAAGTAAATATAAATTGGCAATCTAAATATAAATTAAAAAACACTGTTAAAAGCAGTGATCCCAAATGAAAAGATTATACATTGTTTATCTATAATAGATACTAAAGAAAATTATATAAATTTTCACTTAGAAAATTTGTCTAGATTTTATTTCACATGCTTCTCGAGGTGAAGCCTACTCATTTTTAGTATTTGGAGAAACATGAAACATTTATTACATCGTAGTTAAAACATCTTACAAATGTAATGAATCTTGAATATTGATTTTAATTTATAGAAGGAGGTAAATTCATTTCACTTCTTTATTTTTATCTCGTACAATTACTTATGAAAATTTTATCCAAACTGAACTATAATTCTATTATTCTTGTATCACTTTTCTAGTCTTCCATGCTAATGATACACCTTAGTCCCTCTCCTTTCAACATTAATTCAAATGCCTTGTTGATATCGGAGAAAGGAACTCTATGGGTTATAAACTTGTCCAGTTCCAATTTCTGCAAGCAATCAAGGAATGAAAAGGCTGTCACCAAATATTTCTAACAGTAAATTTAATCCATACTCCACAAGTTTAACAAAATTTCACTTGATATTCCTCTTATCCTGATTCATATAACTGCATAAAAAATCAAGAGTGGTTTGTGTAGTCGATAAGAGTATGCAGTATGTTTTGTTATATAAATTAAGTGAAGTTTGTGTAGGGTTAAGAAAAGGAAGGGTACCAAGTGAAATTTCATTAAACCTCAGGAGTATGAATGTAATTTGTCCTATATCTTATGTTAAAGTGTTTATTGTAAATATGTGGATATAATAGCATTATATTATAATTACCTTATTCATATACATTTCAACAACGTAAGGGAGGTCAGTCCTGGGCTTGTAATTTCCAAAGAAAGTTCCCTTGAGTGTTCTTTCGTTGAGCACATTAATGGGCTTGGTCATGAAAACCGCATCCTTGTTGGGTACTCCAACAAGCACAGCAACACCCCACCCCTATATATAGTACATAAAAACTGATTAGACACTGAATCATCTCCATACCAATGTTACATTCAGCAAATAATCTATAGATGTAATAATTCATTAATTCAAAATAACTGCATTTTCTGATATTGTTAAAACAAGATAAAATGGTGTTTAAAGAGCCAAATGTGTGTTTCTACTATATCAACCAAGTTTCATAAATTATTTGTCATGACTATCTGAACAAAATTAATTGCTTACATCATGAACACATTCGAAAGCGGATATCATGGCATTGATGTTTCCAGTGCACTCTATACTTCTATCAACTCCTCCATTTGTCATATCTGCAATTACCTGCCATTTAAAACAATAATCATATCAGGATCATATCAGCAACATGAAGTTAATAAAGAATTATTTACCTGTTGAACCGGCTTATCGTAGTCCTTGGGATTCACAAACTCAGTTACTCCAAACTTTTTGGCTAGCATCCAGTGTAAGAAACAAGCAAGGTTAATCAAAATCTACATTTTATCATGATCTACTTGAACATAACTTGGCAATATCAATATGTGACTTTGGTACCAAAAACCATATGCTACCTTCCTCAAACCTCTTTGGGTTCAAATCAACTCCAATAATTCTAGATGAACCAGCTATTCTTGCTCCCTCAGCAGCCTATTAGTGCATGATAGCATTACATACAAATCAATACATCATATAGGTTAGGAATTATAATGTGACAAGAAATTAGATGGTGGGAAACATACAGCAAGGCCAACAGCTCCTAGCCCAAAGATTGCTACTGTAGAGCCCTTCTTTGGTTTTGCTACATTTAAAGCGGCTCCTAATCCTGATATTTGAAATTCATTGTCATACAAAATTCAATCACTGAGAACTAAACCTGAAATTGAGATGACTAAATTGACAGCAGAGTTGGATCAAACCCGTTGAGATGCCACAACTGAGGACACAGACTTTATCCATAGGTGCTTGTGGATTGATCTTTGCTAAGCAGCCAGAATGTACCACAGTGTATTCACTAAAAGTTGATGTGCCAACAAAGTGGTTTATTGGGGTACCATTAATGGAGAACCTGCTTTTACCATCACTATGCATGACTCCTCGGTTTGTATCAATTCGCAACAGGTCACACATGTTGCTTTCCTCAGATTTGCAATGTGCACACTCACCACATTCCCCAGTGAATACAGGTAGCACATGATCCCCTACCTGCAGTTCTGAGACCCCTTCTCCAACACTCTCCACAATTCTATCAGAAATAAGGAAACTCAGCAATGAGTAACAAAATCGACCTTGCAGATTTGCTGCTTCCAGATATGGTGCTATTGAAATAATCAAGATTTAAATGGCGCACATTTATGAGAAATAGTTATCATCTTTGGTACAAACCAATTACAACACTGATTGAAAGTATGTCAGCCACAATTTGTTTCTTAAATTCAAATTGATATAATTTTCGATTTCTTAACCATTAATTTGAGGGATCTGAATCTGACTGTTTAGGTTTAACATTCATGCACCTTCCATTTCATAATTACAACTGAGGCTTGGACAGAAATCTGATATATTAAACAAAAGACAAAACTTAGGTGCAGTATCATAAGTACTTTTGGTGTTTTTCAATTAGAATTGGAATTACACCTAGGTGATATGTAACCTTTAATATTAGTGTGATGACCTTTAACGTCAACTTTTATTATGTAGATTATTGAGGTGAAATTCTAAATATGATTGGAGAAAAACACTAAATGTATGTACCTACACTACTACCCCTCAGTTTTGTCCTCAAATAAAACAATTCACAAGTGTACTACTTTTCAAGCATCTTATTGACCCTAGTATTTAATCATCAAGTAACTGAAATTTAAAACAATATAAATAAAATTAGCTCTAGGGTGATATATAATATCTGAAATTACATACCCAGCTGCCTCATGGCCAAAAATCCGGGGAAACAGAGGAGTGTGCCCCTGAAATATCAAAGCATAACAAGAAATGATAAAAACGTCAGAACTCAAGTTAATATCCTTCAAGCTTTTTCAACGTCAAATACATGAATCCATTACAATTCGTGCAGTATGTACATATCGATATATAAAAAAAATTTCATGAAACATAGTAAATATGTGATTACAATTCCATAAATCTAAACTAAGTGCGTACTTCTTGGACATTGCTAAAAATAAAATAGATATTATAAAACAATTTTTTATCAACTTTGAATGACGATTATAAACCATTGTTATCATACCTTATCCAAAAAGAAAGAAAGAAAGAAAGAAGCGTTGTTATCATAAATTACTGCCGACAAAATAAGAACAGTGTCAATATCAACTAGTGACTGGACTTTGGTGATGCAGATAAGGGGAGAAACATGAATAGAAAAATGTTGCTTCATATGTTAATTTTTTCTGACGTGAAAATGTTTAATAAATAAGAACAGACCTTGGCTTCCCAGAAGTAAAGATCAGTGTGGCAAAGTGAGGTATATTTGACTTTGATCCTCACTTCCATCACCTGTGGTGGTGCCACCTCCACACGTTCTATCACCAACGGTTTCCCTGCTTCCCATGAAACAGCAGCTACACATGTTCCAAAGTAAATACTACAACTAATAATAATTAATAAATAAATAAAAGTATTTCAGAAATTAAGGAAGCCTAATAATGTATTATGAATCCTACGTTGAGTTGAATAAAATGTGCTTAAATTAATAATAACATAATGAATAGATACATTACTTGCAACCATTCCATTCCAAAGCCTCATAATTTGAGGCACAAATGGCATTTCTACAAAAGACTAAAAAAAATAAAAAGAAAAATCCAAAGCCCAAGGAACAAAAGACTTTTAAGTAAGAAAAGAAATGGAAAAAATAGCATATGAAACTCGAAATTCTGCAAACAATGGATGTTTGGAAAGTTGTTATTTTTTTTCCTTGTAAATAACAGTAGTTAAAGGCCCTTTAAGTGGAAGAAAAGCATAAGCAAAGGATTCTAACTTGGCTTTTGCAATTATCCACTTTGATTTCATACCTTTGCAGGGGATCACAAGACCAGAAGTGCTGGACATGTTGTTAGTCACAACCGCTGATGAATGAAAAGATGTTGTTCTGTTTACTATGGAATATATATTAGACGAAAATGTATGTGAAAGATAAGTTCTTAACTTCTGTGTAAGATATTTTATATTCATGCCAAGTATTTAATGGCAGTGATAATTTCTTCTTTTTTGGGTCGATAACACTAATAAAGATATATACATGCCAATATTCCAATGGGCTCTTATTGCAAGGGCCCAACAAGGTTAGGACGTACAAATCAAGACAAAACCAGTTGCGGCCCATAGGCTAATCTATCACTTTGGAATGAAGCAAACTAAGAATAAGTAACTTGTGTTGACCAAAAACCAAAGAAACAAAGAGTAAGTAACTTGTTTATGCTTTAGGTGTACAAAGTGTGTGTGAGATGTGTAATAGTACTTGTACTAACACTTTAATATGTACTAATAACTTGTCAAAACCATTGGCTGTTTAGCAACGACCCACTTCTTAGATCAAGATATTTGGGTTTGACACAACAAAAAAAAGGGAAAATATATGGGTAAGTTAGTTTAATCCTTTTTCCATTTCAAATTATTAGATACGTTTAGAGTTTTTTTTTTTTAATAAAGATTAAAGAAAGTAATATATATCTTAATTAATAAAATAATTTTGTTGAATTATTCTTATTGTTTGTTGTGTTTAGTTGCTAAGAGAATTGACTCACATAATTCTTAAAGTTATTATATTTATTAATTATTTGGAAAGGAATAAAATAGAAATTAATATTTCATAGGTAATCTCGAAACATTATTTAGTATGATTTCTTTTACTAAAACACCACTTAATTTGAAATAGAAGAAGTATCTCTAATTAACAACGTCTAATGTGTTAGAAAGAGAGTTACTTTCTGCGTTATTCTTTTTATTATGCACACTATTTTTTTTTATTATCATTTGTAGAGATTTAATTTTAGAATGTATTAAACATTCTTTTAAGAATGAAATTTCAAAAGGGTGTCTAATATATGGCAAAATTTAGATTTAAAAATTATTACAAAATTAAAATTTTAAAAGAATGTTTAAAGAGTTCCCTAAAATTTTAGATTATAGTAAATATTTTTTAAATATAATAATAATAATTTGCTTACAAATTGCAAGAACAAAAGGTGCAAACCAAGATAAAAACAGCTGCGGCCCATAGCTAATAAAAAGAATACCTTACATAATTTAGAATCATGTTCCTCTTATTTGTATATTCTTTGATCTGTTGCTATGAATTTATTTTCTTAACAATAATTACTTGTCCCTTTACTGCATGGTGCTGTTGCTAGATACAATTAAGACATACAATTAATCTGTGGATTAGAATTATTTCATTGAATTAAAGCACAAATGTTTGGGGTAATCGACAAACCTAGGTAAGCACTTCATCCTCTAGTACTCTATTATTCAAGAACTTTTATCTTTATGCAAATTTAATTTCACTATGCAAATCAAGCTTCTATTTCATGCAAGTTTAGTTTCCTAACTTTACTTTCCTGCAATTTAATTTTCAATTAAGTTTCACGCCCTCAATTTCTGTTTTTATTAAAATATATTTATTCTTAGCTCATAACAATTAGATAAATGTAACTGCACACTCAACTTATTAATCCAATGATTAAGTCATCATCCTTTAGGGAAAGCTAAGATTTAGAAACATAAAAATAAGGCTGCAAGGAACGCATGTTTATTGTTTTATACAATATTCGCGATTTTTCTTGATTCTCAAGGCTTTACCTAAAATGATAAAAATAAGAGAACTTCACTAAGATAAATCCTACCAACTCTGATTGTTTTCATTTATATATATATATATATATATATATATTATCTTATTACAATTCTTTTGATACAATCTTTATGTTCAGAAATCCTTAAATCTCTCTCCCATCAAATATCGGTTTTTATAATATAAAATTATCAAAATTATATTATAAATCTTTTATAATTTTTCATTTTATTTAATAAAATTATTGAAAATGAGAATATAATAAAAAAAATCTTTTTAATTTTTAAGATGATGAATTATTTAAAATAAATTAAAACATGAAAGAATAATTTTCAAAAATATATAGAGTTATAAATTTTCAAGTTATGGCCAGGTAACCAAATATGTCATTTTACACGTATTAATTGATTTTATTAAATATTTATAATTTAATTAGCTAGCTTTTTATTTTTTATTTTATTTTATTTTGACCTTTATTTACAGTCTTGTAAAACATTTGTTTTCAGTAAGAACTGCCAAATAATAATAATAATAATAATAACATTAGCAGTTAATAGCTATCAAATGTAGACAATAAGTGACAATTGTTAGGAATTAATAACTAATAACGATTGACAATTATTTTTAGTTTTTGCGTAAAGTCAGTTTCTATAAGATTAGGTTTTGCTTATGTGGTGGGAAAGTACACAAAATTTGTCAAATCGTAGATCAATTGCAATTCCAACTTGTTGCTAAAAATTTTACAAAAGTTGGGAGTCAATCCTATTTTATCGACTTTCTCTCAAATTGTTAAAAAAATTTAATTTATAAATTGCGAAACACCTACATAGATTAATTGATACAATTTCAACTAGTATGCAAACTAATTAATTAAGAAGCATAAATACCTTATATGTAACATTTAAATTAAAACATATACAACAAAAATAATAATCATATTATAATCAACTCCAATAATATAAAAAAATATATTATAATCAACTTTAATTAAAAAAAATTTATTTAAATTATTCTTTAGCAGTATAGAAGTTGATTATAATCAACTTCAATTATAAAGAAGTAAAAAAAACTCATAATTAATATATATCAGTAAAAAAATTAATTATAATCGACTTTAATTATATAATCGTAAATATATATAATTGTTAAATTTAAATATAGTTAACATCCATTAAATTTAAATTTATTTTAATTCACTAAGTTATTGTTTTAATGTTTACTTGCCTAAAATTATAATTGTTTAATTTATTGTAATAAATAGTAAAAATCTTAATATAAAATACACTACTAGTTCTATAACCTACATTTAATTAAATATGTAGCAGACATTTATATAATATATGTAATAACTATTTTAATTTGACAACTAAATATTTAATGATAGATTAAATTAAAAAACTCAAATAAAATTAAATAAATTTTTTAAATATTTACACGACATTTTATTTAATATGATCAATAAATTTAAGTCGATTTAAATTATTATTCATCTCTATTATAGTTATACTGTATTTTTTTCTCTTCCTTTCTTTTTGTCAATTCTTCTCAAATATATTTCTTCCTTCTAGGGTAGTCTTGTACTTTAGAATTTGAATTTTATGAAGTTTAAAATTTAAATTTTATGTCATTTGAAATATTATTTTTACATTAATATTATTTAATAGTTTATAAAATTATTATATAAAAATATTAACATTTTAAATTAAAATTAATTTTTTAATTTGAGTAAGAGATTAGAAGGAATTATATAACTTAAGTTTACATGGATCATAATTCAAACTCAAAAAATGCACTTAAGACATAGTATTTTTTAATTAATGTCGATAATTGACTATTTTGTAACATAGAAGTCAATTTTAATCTTCCTCGTTGCACTGCTGAAAACAGTTATAATCGATTTCTGTACTTATGTCTAAGATTGGTTTTAATTGACTTCTATATAATTCAAATCAAGACTTTTGTGTAAAACTTTTTATTTCGATGTATATACGTAATATTTAATTATTTTTATTTTATTTAAGTAAAAAATTCAGAACATCGACAACGCACTAACAAAAAGAAGTGCATATTTAAAAACATTAAAACTTTAAAAAATAATAATTTTTGCTTAAAAATAAAGTAAATTAAACACACATTAAATCAAATAATATAAATAAATTTTTTGCATCTAATTTAATATGAATTTAACCTAAGCTACATACTTGTACGTAGTAAATTAGTCTACCATGAAAAATTTGAAAGATTTTTTATATATATAAAAACTTGAACTTAAAATTTTTTACATGATACTGAACTGTTTATTATTTGGATCAACTTTTGTTGGTGAAATTAATTTTTTAAAATATAGCTATTAATAAATTTTAATAATTTTTGTTTTCTTTGATTAGAGCAAAGTGAGTTTGTTAATTTTGTTTTTCTTTTATAAAATTTTTGAAGGGAGGAGTTAGATTCTGTTTTGAAACAAAAGAGAAAGTTGAGAATTTACATTTACTTCAACTCAAAGATATTAACAAGAGTTCGAACTTGCAATTTGATAGATATAAAGTTCTATCTTATTCTATTTGATTATTAATTTCTTAAAGTTAAATGAGCTTGTTAATTTGCGGTGATTAAAATATTTTGGGAGAGCAGATATAATAATAATAATAAATGAAATTAGGTATAAAATGTTTGAAAAATAGGGTTTTGAAAAAAAAAATGAAGTTGCTTATTGATTTAGTTTACGCTTCTGCATATTTGTGGTGTCTATTTTAAGGTGGGAAGTGTATAGGAATCCAATGATCTCACGTGTACGGTGTACCCTTTTTATTTGTTGAATGGAACCTACACAGTGTTCTGCAGCTTTAGTTCTCTGGATCTCTGATCTTATGCTTCCATATGAAAAGAAAATAAGTAAAAAATGATAGAAAGATGAGAAAATAGGTATAATTTTAATTATTTCAATTATGCGAAAAATAATGAGTTTTATCTTCATTTGTTTGGATTAATAAAATCTGAGAAGAAAAAATATTTATTATATTTAATTAGTATTTTATTTATTACAAAAAATTATCATTTGTTAATAATTTAAAGTTAAATTAGTCTTTGTTAGTAAATATTTTTAAATAAATATTAAATTTTTAATATACATATTATGAATTTATACTAACAAAATGATATATTATACAAAAAATAAAATATTAATATATAGTAATAATATAATTTTTAAAATAAAAAAATATTAATAAAAATTATCCTAGCACTTAGTAATTTTGTCTAATTGTTTACTAGCCAAATATATTGACGAATTAATTTTCCTATGCATGTCGTTATCGTGCAAATCTTATTTAGTTCATATTTTATTACACACAAAAATTATGAAGTAGACTATTATGATTTAATAATTTAGTTAATAATAATAGTAGG